CCCTTCCATGTTCCTACATGCCCCCAGTGTCCTGTCCTTACCCTGTCTTGGCCACCAGCATTACTTTACTAAACTCTCAATTGCCCAGACACCCCTAGACTGGAAGCTCTGTGACAGCAGGCAATAGGTCCACTTTGTCCATTGTATCTGGCACCCAACACAGTACTGACAAATAGGAGATGTATTCACTGCTTATGTGTTGAAATGTAAGTTCCATGATTGTGTAACATCCTTCACTTTATTTTCTAGTTCATGCAATTGCTGAAATCGAATCCAACGTTCATGAGACATGATTTCTCCCAGAAAGTAAGTCAAAAGGACCAGCTCCCACTGCTATAATCTGTCAGAGGGTCTGGTGCATCTCCTACATTGTTCTAGAAAGGATTCCTGCATCATTACTTACTCCTGAAAGTCAGTCTTCTCTGACACAATGCTCCACTAAAGAAAATAAATATTTTTATTTACTAACACAGTCACAAACACAAGTGAATTACTCAAAGATATTTAATCTGATTAAGCCCCTATGGACCTGTCATTCAATTAGGTTTTTGTCATCTACCTACTAGGTAGTTCTTCCTGTGGCACAGGGTGGAGGGTGCCTTCCAGAGTTTCTGTAAAGTCCTTTTAAGAATGGTTTCCTCTGGGATGCCTGGGTGGCTCAGCGGCTGAGCATCTGCCTTCAGCTCAGGGTGTGATCCCAGGCCCAGGGATCAAGTCCCACTTTGGGCTCCCTGAGAGGAGCCTGCTTCTCCCTCTATGTCTCTGCCTCTCTCTTTGTGCCTTTCATGAAAAAATAAATAGAATCTTTTAAAAAAAATGAGTAGTTTCCTCTTAGGGCAGGGCCCCTTGTCCCTGCCTGCCTTTCTACCAATTATCCTTCATTAACGACACTAACACACCTAGTTCCTGTGTCAGTAATAGGGTAAAGTGAGTACTTTCCTCCAGCACAGAATTTTAGGTGGTACTAATGTGAGAAACAAAGACAAAAGAAAATTTAAACTTCTTTACTCCCTGCAGCCCACTGACAAGTTCTGAGATAGGCAGAGGGACATTCCTCTAGGGACTCAGCTGCCTCCATTTTAATACACTGCTAAGGGCAAAAGGCAAGCATACCTCAACCCCAGGATCCTGTAAATCTACTTTAACAGAAAAAAATTCCATTGGAAACTTCCTTTACCTCTACTCACCCAAGATACATGTTGGCAATCATCCTCCAAGCATATGACTCACTGATACATATCTGAAGGGTCTCATGACTGAGTTTTTACTAAACAGTAATACCATGGATTTCACAGCACATGTCAAATCAAAACGTTACACATGGAGCCTGGAAACCTTGTTTCCAAAATGCCTTAAGCTATCCCTAACCTTCTCCCAACTTGAAACTCCTCACAAGGGCAGGGCAGCTCTTTCTGCCCACAGGTCCTGTCCAATGCTTTAATAAAACCACCTTTTTGCACCAAAGACGTCTCGAGAATTCTTTCTTGGCCATCAGCTTCGAACCCTAACATGTTTCCAACATCAATAACAAATGCAAGTAATTTATGTAAAGAATACCTTTAATTAATATTAAACCATATAAATTAGTGCTTTTAAAACATTCATGATGCACTAATAGCAGAAATTTAAGTAAAGAAAAGAAAGGACCCCTTTGAAAGTTCCTGTGAGTTTTCAAGGGGGAGCAGGGCACATATGACATTTTGGTAAATTCTGTTCAAATTCTTACACAAGAAAATGGAAAGATCTGACCTAAATGTCCTCGATGCTTGTGCACAACACTACCTTTTCTCATTAAGAGTACAGTCAAGAGGAGATCCTAGGAAAGACATTTCACTAACCAAAAGTTACACAAAAAATATCTAAGATATTCACAGAGACCCAAATTGTCAAGAATACAGATCTTTCAACTGAAAAGGAGGAGGTCATCTTCCACAGATCGCTCAGCCAGACGTCTCGTTCCATCTCAGAACCTGAGATCACAACCTGAGCAAAAATCAAGAGTCGGATGCTCAACGACTGAGCCACTCAGGCGCACCTAGGGTGAGTCTTCTCTTGATGACCAGGCCTGGTACCCTCACCTCGATATTCGAAAAACTGAGAACACAAACTTGAAGGGAATTTCCTCCCACACAAACTGATTTTTTTTTATTCTTAAATGCCCTATAGGGTATTCTATTAACTTCCCTTGTAGAATCACAAGGAATTTATAAAGGGTCTTCAGGTCTATTGTCTGGCACATCACACAAATCCTGTATCTTTAGTCTATATTGGTATTGTCCATTCTCCTATAATTACTCTACTTGTTCTCCCCATGAATATTAGTTGAGCTCTGGAAGTGATGGGAAATGGACCAGTTGCCTAGAAAAACAAGTTGGGTGAGATGTTTTCTCTCCCCTTAAGGTCTTTTACAGACCTCTGCCGGGAGGTATTCTAAGGAGAAGATAAGGTAGTTCAGGGCTCAGTCCTTTCCTTCTGCTAAAAAAAAAAAGAAAAAAGAAAAGAAAAAGAAAAAAAAGGCAAAGTACATGCTAGGTAGCTTGTAGAGAGAAAATCCTAGATTGGGGTGACTCTCATGAATGCCCCAATTCCAACATGATGGCTACCCACTTGTGTTCTGTCACCTTCCAAAGGGCCATCCAAACATTCAGACCATAGCAGGTCATTAAAGGCTCCATGCCTGCCTTCTAGAAGAATGGATACAGTCAAGTTTAGTAACAAGAAAGAAGAGTGAGTAGGTAGGTTAGCAAGCAAGAGCAAGCAGGGCCAAAGACTGAGAATACACACCTTCATGTTTTGGCCTGAGGTAACACTGCTTATTACCTGCCACACTGTAGATATCGGAGTGCAATGGAGCTTTCTCTCCCCCAGAGATGGATGGAGATAAGAGCAGGCGATGGGGGTTCATCGTTGTCTCCAGAGCATCTCAGGAAGACAGTCATTGGGTGTCACTTGAGTAAAGACCCACCATGACTTGTGGATCAATAGCCCGGTTGCCCTGAGCTGTGTGAATCAAGGAGAGTCTGAGTTTAGATGTGTGGCCCTGTGTAGGACACCAGGCGAGGTCTTTTCCTGTGGTGGCCGGGCTGTGGGCAAGGTTGAGATGAGGCCATCCTGGGGGGTTTCCTCTAGTGCTGGGCAAAGGCTGACAACTGTGCTCTTGCAGCCTGAACCCCAACGCCCTGAGCACCTGAAAGCAACCAGAGTCCCAGTGGTTTCAGCAATAATCCCAGTAGGTGTGGTCGATGCCAGTAAGAGTAGAGTGGATATTTTGGCCAGTGTCTTGCACAGGCCTAACAAAAATGGCTGTGATGAAGCAAACTAGTTTAGTGCTTTGTGAACACCTTCTGGTGGGAGCAGGAAATCAGAGCCCGTGTAGTGAACATAATGTATTGAGCCAAGACACTGGGCCTCGTGCTGAGGATGAAGAGTTGACATAGGAAAACTAAAGAGACCCCAGGAAATCCATTTTTTGGTTGCTTTTCTTTCTCCCATTCCTGCTACAACTTGCACTCCACCCTATGCATGCCTTACGGTGTGTCCTCCTTGTAAGGGACCAGGAGTTAGTGATTTTCTTCTGAGTCTTCAAGCATACTAGATGATATCTTGGGAATGAGTACACATAATGAGCATGCTGGCCATTATGTGCTTCTTCCCAACCACTGGTGCTAGATATCTGGATGCCAAGACTTCCCGGCCCCAGAGATTAAGTGGTTAGGACCTTGTCCTTGTTTGACCAGTTCCTGGATGCCTGAGAGATCATGTGCACCAGACTACAATCATCAATAAAAACTCCAGACCCCAATCACAGATGAGACTCTCTCATCTTTCCTTTCTGAGTCTCCTAGACACTCCATGCGCCACTCTGACAGTGACACTCTGTCACTGCTCTATTCAAGAAATCCTGCTCTCCTTCCTGCTGGCTCACGTTTCTATCCTGTGTAGCCAAGGACTCTCCTTGCTAGTCCTCCCAGACTTCTTCGGTGTCCTCAGACCTGGCCTGTCCAAATAATCTTGGTGAGCACAAAGGGACCCTCAGAGGAACAGCAGTACCCTGAAATTGAGTCTGTGCAGCACAATTCCACCTTTGAGGTCCTGTAAGTTCCTTCTTTGGGAAACAAAGTTGGTTTAGTGCCAGCATAATTTCTGTCTCTGTGCTTTTCTGTGTGACTGGTCTTGTCTTCTGGGAGGATGGAAACCTGGAGGGATCAACATAGGGACTTGGTCTCACTTCCTATTCTCTTTGTGCTCTAGTTATTTCTGCTGGCTCTGAAATGTTAACTTTCACTTTAACTGCAAACCAACTATCCTCATTCCAGTTTCTAGACCATTTCAATGTGGTTAGTTGTCATGACAAATGGAGTCATTTGGCTCCGAAGTAAAGAGACACCCCTTCCCGCCAAAAGATGTTCTTAGAGACTAAGAACCTTGAGGAGGTGCCTGAAGTTCTTCCTGGAGACAGGGAGTAGTCCCATAGGAAAACCTCATACCCCCCCATGATAAATAATTAATAATCAATCATCCCTGGGGGATAATTATGGTTTGCCCAGGAACACACACATAAGGATTGATTGTCCAGTGCTCCCAGCCCCCATGAGGGTTGTAGACTGCTGCTGGATGAAACCAAGACACTCCAGAAGGGAAAGGTGACCAACTGGTGACTCATCTCTGGGACATTCTCTCCATAAACAGCATATTCCATTTACCGCATGCTTTCCCATTAGAATACATTTTGGGTTTCTAACTCTCTCTTTTCCACTACTGGATGGATGTCCCCTAGTGGCAATTCCAGGATGCTGGAATTGCTTTTAAGAGATGGATGGCCAGTCCTGCAAAGGACCAAAGCTCCAGAATAAAGTGTGGTCCTGCCACTTCTAGTACACCAAATTTTCCGTTTATGGGGATGGGGCACTCGGTAGGCTAGTCACTGGTCCGTGGGTGTCAGCTCCCTGAATGAGACACAGGACAGGCTGGTCTCTGCTGTGTACAAGTCTCCTTAGTGGATGGAAGAGGAGACAACTGGCAAGCTGGATCTTGTGATGACCCAGAAGGTCTTCCACCTCTTCTGCACAGACATGTCCTCTGCAACTTGGAACATGACTCTCCTGGACGAACTGTGCTTGGGGCTCTCGGAGCAGCTGAATGACCTGGAGGCCTGTCCCCTGCAGGAGGCAGGGCTGGCCGAGACCCCCCTCATGCATGAGGACTCCACCCTGAGGACCTACTTCCAGAGGATCTCCCTCTACCTGCAAGACAAGAACCACAGCCCGTGTGCCTGGGAGATGGTCAGAGCAGAAATCGGGAGATCCTTCTTCTCCTCGACAATCTTGCAAGAAAGAATCAGGAGGAGGAAATGAGACGCGCCCAGGTCCGCACGGAAATGACATTCCCTAACTGATCAGAGCACACTTGCACGTGTCCTGCCACCTCAGAGAAGCTCACGTCTGCCATCACGGTGACACGAAGGCAATCGGGGTGTCGAACGTGTTCAGGACGGGGCAGCGCCATGAAGTCAAGTCGACAAACACCGCTTACTTTCAGATAACCGTGCCCATCTCTCTACTTTACTATTTATTTATTTATTTATTTTTAATAAATTAATTTTTATTGGTGTTCAATTTACCAACATACAGAATAACACCCAGTGCTCATCCCGACAACTGTCCCCCTCAGTGCCCGTCACCCATTCACCCCCACCCCCCGCCCTCCTCCCCCTCCACCACCCCTAGTTCATTTCCCAGAGTTAGGAGTCTTTATGTTCTGTCTTCCTTTCTGATATTTCCCACACATTTCTTCTCCCTTCCCTTATATTCCCTTTCACTATTATTCATATTCCCCAAATGAATGAGAACATACAGTTTGTCCTTCTCCGATTGACTTACTTCACTCAGCATAATACCCTCCAGTTCCATCCACGTCGAAGCAAATGGTGGGTATTTGTCGTTTCTAATGGCTGAGTAATATTCCATTGTATACATAAACCACATCTTCTTTATCCATTCATCTTTCGATGGGCACCGAGGCTCCTTCCATAGTTTGGCTATTGTGCACATGGCTGCTAGAAACATCGGGGTGCAGGTGTCCCGGCGTTTCATTGCATCTGAATCTTTGGGGTAAATCCCTAACAGTGCAATTGCTGGGTCGTAGGGCAGGTCTATTTTTAATTCTTTGAGGAACCTCCACACAGTTTTCCAGAGTGGCTGCACCAGTTCACATTCCCACCAACAGTTAAGAGGGTTCCCTTTTCTTCGCATCCTCTCCAACATTTGTTGTTTCCTGCCTTGTTAATTTTCCCCATTCTCACTGGTGTGAGGTGATATCTCATTGTGGTTTTGATTTGTATTTCCCTGATGGCAAGTGATGCAGAGCATTTTCTCATGTGCATGTTGGCCATGTCTATGTCTTCCTCTGTGAGATTTCTCTTCATGTCTTTTGCCCATTTCATGATTGGATTGTTTGTTTCTTTGCTGTTGAGTTTAATAAGTTCTTTATAGATCGTGGAAACTAGCCCTTTATCTGATATGTTATTTGCAAATATCTTCTCCCATTCTGTAGGTTGTCTTTGAGTTTTGTTGACTGTATCCTTTGCTGTGCAAAAGCTTCTTATCTTGATGAAGTCCCAATAGTTCATTTTTGCTTTTGTTTCTTTTGCTTTCGTGGATGTATCTTGCAAGAAGTTACTGTGGCCAAGTTCAAAAAGGGTGTTGCCTGTGTTCTCCTCTAGGATTTTGATGGAATCTTGTCTCACATTTAGATCTTTCATCCATTTTGAGTTTATCTTTGTGTATGGTGCAAGAGAGTGGTCTAGTTTCATTCTTCTGCATGTGGATGTCCAATTTTCCCAGCACCATTTATTGAAGAGACTGTCTTTCTTCCAGTGGATCGTCTTTCCTCCTTTGTCGAATATTAGTTGACCATAAAGTTCAGGGTCCACTTCTGGGTTCTCTATTCTGTTCCACTGATCTATGTGTCTGTTTTTGTGCCAGTACCACACTGTCTTGATGACCACAGCTTTGTAGTACAACCTGAAATCTGGCATTGTGATGCCCCCAGATATGGTTTTCTTTTTTAAAATTCCCCTGGCTATTCAGGGTCTTTTCTGATTCCACACAAATCTTAAAATAATTTGTTCTAAGTCTCTGAAGAAAGTCCATGGTATTTTGATAGGGATTGCATTGAACGTGTAAATTGCCCTGGGTAAGATTGACATTTTCACAATATTAATTCTGCCAATCCAGGAGCATGGAATATTTTTCCATCTCTTTGTGTCTTCCTCAATTTCTTTCAGAAGTGTTCTATAGTTTTTAGGGTATAGATCCTTTACCTCTTTGGTTAGGTTTATTCCTAGGTATCTTATGCTTTTGGGTGCAATTGTAAATGGGATTGACTCCTTAATTTCTCTTTCTTCAGTCTCATTGTTAGTGTATAGGAATGCCATTGATTTCTAGGCATTGATTTTGTATCCTGCCACGCTACCAAATTGCTGTATGAGTTCTAGCAATCTTGGGGTGGAGGCTTTTGGGTTTTCTATGTAGAGTATCATGTCATTGGCGAAGAGGGAGAGTTTGACTTCTTCTTTGCCAATTTGAATGCCTTTAATGTCTTTTTGTTGTCTGATTGCTGAGGCTAGGACTTCCAATACTATGTTGAATAGCAGTGGTAAGAGTGGACATCCCTGTCTTGTTCCTGATCTTAGGGGAAAGGCTCCCAGTGCTTCCCCATTGAGAATGATATTTGCTGTGGGCTTTTCGTAGATGGCTTTTAAGATGTCAAGGAAAGTTCCCTCTATCCCTACACTCTGAAGAGTTTTGATCAGGAATGGATGCTGTATTTTGTCAAATGCTTTCTCTGCATCTAATGAGAGGATCCTATGGTTCTTGGTTTTTCTCTTGCTGATATGATGAATCACATTGATTGTTTTACGAGTGTTGAACCAGCCTTGTGTCCCGGGGATAAATCCTACTTGGTCATGGTGAATAATTTTCTTAATGTGTTGTTGGATCCTATTGGCTAGTATCTTGTGGAGAATTTTCGCATCCATGTTCATCAGGGATATTGGTCTGTAATTCTCCTTTTTGGTGGGGTCTTTGTCTGGTTTTGGAATTAAGGTGATGCTGGCCTCATAGAATGAATTTGGAAGTACTCCATCTCTTTCTATCTTTCCAAACAGCTTTAGTAGAATAGGTATGATTTCTTCTTTAAACGTTTGATAGAATTCCCCTGGGAAGCCATCTGGCCCTGGACTCTTGTGTCTTGGGAGGTTTTTGATGACTTCTTCAATTTCCTCCCTGGTTATTGGCCTGTTCAGGTTTTCTATTTCTTCCTGTTCCAGTTTTGGTAGTTTGTGGCTTTCCAGGAATGCGTCCATTTCTTCTAGATTGCCTAATTTATTGGCATAGAGCTGTTCATAATACATCGCAATACAAGCATCCATTCAAAAACTGGAAAGAACTCAAATACAAAAGCTAACCTTACACATAAAGGAGCTAGAGAAGAAGCAGCAAATCGACCCGACGCCCAGCAGAAGAAGAGAGTTAATTAAAATTCGAGCAGAACTCAACAAAATTGAGACCAGAAGAACTGTGGAACAGATCAATAGAACCAGGAGTTGGTTCTTTGAAAGAATTAATAAGATAGATAAACCATTAGCCAACCTTATTAAAAAGAAGAGAGAGAAGACTCAAATTAATAACATCATGAATGAGAAAGGAGAGATCACTACCAACACCAAGGAAATACAAACGATTTTAAAAACATATTATTTATTTACTTAAACTATTTATAGATTAACTGGGTTCTCTTTGCATACTAGTAGGTATACGTCACTCTGTGATTCAGGGGGAGTGGAGATGCTTTCTATTTTTTCAATTTTTTATTTTTTTGTTCATTAAATTTTATATACAAAAACTCTTGTATTTGTTTTTTATTTAAAGAATTCTGAATATAACCCGATGAAAGAATGGATCATACAACTCATTCATCATTTTGTTATTCACAGTATAAGTAAAGCCATAGACTTCACTGATGCCAGTTTGTATGTGATCTTCAGGGTAAAGGCGAACATAAAAGATCCAATCCCCTTCTGTATCTTTGAGTGTGTAGAAAAACCAACCTCCAAACAATAATCATAGTGAAGTAATATCAGTTTTGTTCAAAGGTATAATAATAAGAAGGGCAAATAGGAATTCTGTAAGCAGAAAAGGAAGCAGACATATCCAGAAGTAAAATCAAAAGCACTAGATACCTTCCATATCAGGCTGGTAGATGTCTCAGTGCAAATATTCTTCAGAAAATGGATATTTGAGTCTTCCATTTTCAAGCCATTCCATTAACTTAAAGCCCAGGAATAGAAGTACTCTCATGGGAAGAAAGCCCATGGAAATCCATGAGATGGATTCCTCAAACCTCCACTGGTTAGAGGAGAAAAGAGCGATACTGGAAACCAAGGTGGAATGGCCCTAAGGCAGTAGGATAAGAGTAAATGTTGGGTAAGAGTCTAGTTGGGGTGTCTGGGTGGCACAGTTGGTTAAACGTCTGACTCTTGATTTCAGATCAGGTCATGATCTCAGGGTTGTGGTATTGAGCCCCCCCAGTCAGGTTATGCACTTGATGCACAATCTGCTTGAGACTCTCCCTCTTCCTCTGCCACTGCATTTTCTCTTTCTCTCTAAAACAAATAAATCATTTTCTTTAAAGAGTCTATTTTAAAGCCTAAAAAGGCTTCAAGGAATTGCCTCATTGCAGAAGGTGAATGGAAAGTGCCCAGGAGGCTGGGAAGTGCAGGGTGTAGTGACCTGGGTGAGAGTTAGTTTGACCAAATTAATCACCAGAAACCATATTGGAAGAGGAGGAAGGGTGAAGAACAGAAGAGAAGCTAGTGACAGTTTTGAGAGATCTGCCTTCTGAAATGTAACAGGAAAATGCAATGGAAATGGAAAAATATGTGTATTTTTTAGCAGAATTTTCCCTTTTTTTGTAATTTATGTGTCTCTGGATAGATTCATAAATCCGATGTACCATGTTAATATCGATGTACCATGTTAATATTGCATTTATTTTGCATCATGCCATATGTCATTACTTTCAATCATATTCTTTATTTGTTAGTATCTTATTGTTTTTATCAGCACTGTGTGGAAGGTCAGTAAGCTGCACTGTGGACTTTAACCATCCAGCACAGTGGGGGGGGGGGGCGGGGAGATGGACCTGGCCATAGGGGGAGCTGCTTTGGTGGAATCCACAAGCAGAAGCCACAGGGGAGCGGGTGGAAGGTGGTCAGAGAGGAGAAGAGCTGCTGATGTCCTTCTCTCACCTGGGAGTCACCTCAGTGTGGTCACTTCCATCATGGTCAGATGGC